GAGAGAGAGAGAGAGACATGGATCAGAAGCTACGGATCAAGGAACTGGTCTTGAAATTTCCCGACTTCAGATCTGGGGATGACGAGCTCAGATCTGATTTGAGACATCTATTGCAATGATACCATGTTAGAATTCGAGGGAACATAGAATGTTGTATATTAATATGAACCCAATATATCCATATCCTAACATGAATCACTGGCATAAATGAGAGCAGAAGTCAAAAATATATTCGTAAGATTAGAATATCGGAAGTGAAATAAGCTTCGAAGAGGATAAATATAGGAAAGACTTTAGAACCAGTTCGTATCCCGATACAAGTTTGGAAATGCACGGGGGAGATTGCCATTGATTGGCTAACCAAGTTGTTCAATAAGGTGTTGGGAATAAAGAAAATGCAAAACAAATGGAGAAAAAAACTACTGTGGTACCTATTTATAAGAACAAATGAGATATACAAAATTGTGCGAATTATCGAATGATCAAACTTATGAGCCACACTATGAAGATGTGAGAGAGAGAAAGAGAGAGAGAGTGATTGAGCAACAACTAAGACATGAAACAAGTAAATCAGAAAACCAATTTAATTTTGTATTAGGGAGGTCAACAACTTATAATACTTTCCTACTTAGGCAAACTGATTGAGAAGTTTAGAGTGAAAGAAAATGACCTCTACATGGTCTTTATTTATCTAGAGAAAGCTTATGATATAGTACCTAGAGATTTGATTTAGTAGGTATAGGAAAATAAATATGTCTCCAAACATGACATCAACTTAGTAAGAGACATGTACGAGGGAGCACTGACTAGTATACGAACAACTAGCGGATAGACAAATGAGTTTTCAGTAACAATAAGTCTACTCTAGGGGTCAGCATGGAGCCCATACCTTTTTGCCTCAGTTATTGGGTGACTTAACTGGGCACCTACAAGATGGGGTATTGTAGTGCATGTTATTCGTGAATGACATAGTTTTGACCGTTGAGACCTAAAATGATGTCAACATAAGAAATAAATCCTATGTTGTATTCAGACCTACTTTAAATATAAGATATTGTATCTACGCTTCCCAAATATGCATATTACAATATACACGTTCCATGTTAACCTGATAGACAATATATACTTTCCTTTCACACTCCCTCTCAAACTTAAGACGCTATGAGAGAGAGTAGCTGGAGTTTGAACAGTAATTGCAAAAAACGAGCAGTTGGATCTTTAGGTGCATAGCGCGACCAGTAGAAACAGTGGTTGTCAAGCTCAGATTGCTTGATCAACAAGCACAAAAAGCAGCGGCAGATCAACAAGTTTCAGAAGCAGGAGGCTCAAATAGAGCATATATGACAGATAATGGATCCAGAAAACAAGAAAAGAGTTGGAGGAGATCAAACAAATCAAATAGTCGAAACACCCCTTGGCATAGAGATAGATCAAAGAGTCGAAACACGACTCGACAGAGAGATAGATTAGAGAGTCGAAACACAACTCGATAGAGAGAATAGATCTGAGAGTAAAATACAACTCGGTAGAGAGTTGAACACGACTCGATAGAGATGATAGATCTGAGAGTAAAAAACAACTCGGTAGAGATTCGAAACATGACTCGACAAAAGTTGCACCAACTAAGTCAGCAATATACTCATTTTGAAAATCAGCCACAATGCTTCAGGGACGAAGAATTGACGCAATAAAGATGAATTTGGCTCTGATAACACGTGAAGAGTCTCAGATTTCTCTGAAGAGACTCAATGTCCATTAATCGTATGAATATATAGCCTTGTCTTTTATAGACAAATTACAGTTGAGAAAATATAGAAATAAATCACAGCTTCCTATACTATACCCAAACTAACCATAAATACAAGATATTGTATCTACCCTTGCTAAATATACATATTATAATATATACCTTCCATATTAACCAGGTACACAATATATAGTTTCCTTTCACAGATACATCTCTAAAGAGGAAAAACATGGCAGAGATAAAGAGAAAGGAAATGGCTGGAGCAAGATAGAGTTGAAAGATACTTGTATGAAGAGGAAGAGATAGAGCAAGAAATAAGAAATAAAAGTACGAGGATCTTTTAGAATGAGAATAAAGGGAGAGATATGAGATTTTTCAGAATGGGAATAAAGACAAAGAGTGGGGGGGGGGGGGGGGGGGGGGGGGAGAGGAAAGGGGAGTTGGGTTAGTCGGGAGAGATGAGAGGAGATTACTATTTCTAATATGAACCCTAACACTATACGCCCATTTATATATTTAATTGTGTTCATCCCTTTAAAGAGAAAATTAATTTTTGGAAAAAAGATATATATAGACCTCAATTTTTAAAATCATAATCCTAAATAATACCCAGGATCCATGAAAATCCCACGTATATAAATAGAATTTGAGATACATATTTTAACCTACTTGTGAGGTTCACGAGATTAGAGAGAGATATGAGGGTTCAAGGGAAGTTGAGAGAGAGAGAAGGATGGGGGGAGGGGTGACCGGTTCACAAGTGAGGAAGAGAGAAGAAGAAAGGGGCACTTTTCTAGACCTTTGATGAAGGGTCATTAAAAAAAAAGAAAAAGAAGATAAATATTGTAATTTGATCAATAAAAAAATTGCAAAGTGGTAAATGTCATTCTTTTTTAACTTTGATGGAGTCATGGCCTTCTCATAGACTGGGAAAGTTATTTGGCATTATAGTTTTAGAGATTGGGCCATTAATCAAATTTCAAACCTCTTGAAGGATATTTACAATGGTATTGGTTAGGGAAAGCAACTCCGACGTATATGCTTTCGCCAAATCTACTAACCCCCTCCTTGCCTTGATCGTTAATAGTTCTTAAGGCCCTCCTTTGTTCCCCCACCATCCCCCTGCTAGTTACGTTTTGCTTTTGTTTATCATCTTCTATCCCATTTGTTATACATCTTTTTCCTTTAATTTTTTTGGACTAAGGAAGCGAAAAACAATTTTTATGAGCTCAAAATATAGAAAACAATTTCTAGCAGAAAAAAAATTTCTGCCCCAAATTTTAGATCCAAACCCGGTGACCCAAATTATAGATAATGCTCAATACATATAACCATACAATAGACATTCCAAGAAAAAAAAAAAGTATAACCATGTAGTGCAATATATTATATTATTAATTATTAATATATTATTATATACTGTATAATATTTTTTATCTATAATTATATATTTTTGTTATAACAATATATCATATAAATCTACTCAAATGGGTCCCCATGGATGAAACTTGGGTGGGGGCAGTTTGTAAAGCGGGCCCAAGTCCACGTGGCGATGAACGTAGTCTACACCTTCTCTCATTCTCTCTCTTCCAAACTCTTGGAAACTTTCTAAACTTCTAAATGAAGAATGATTTCAAAATAATTCTAAAGAGCACGCGGGTGAAAGAAATGGTCCTGAACTGAAAGCCTCAAATTGACCATGTTTTCAAACTGAACACGACCATGACCCCCTCTTTTGTCATCACAACACAAACTGCCCTCAAACACCTCACATCTCTCTCTCTAAAATCTAAAATCTAAAATCTAAAGCCTTAAGCAGCAGCTGCAATGGGAAAGAGAGCAGCCATGTGTGATGATGCTTGTTATCAGTTGCACCTCAACGGAGCTTTTGCTCCGTACACAGGCATTTTCTTGGCCCGGAAAACTGGTCTTTCCGGCACCCGGAACTTGAATAAGAGAATGATCGAATTGTTGAGGGCCATTTGGGCTTCAAATAATAGTGGGGCTGGTTCTCTGGAGTCTCAGAGCCATAGGCATATGATGAAAGAGAGACAGAGGAGAGAGAAGATGAAGCAGAGCTACCTTCTCCTTCACTCCATGCTTCCACCTCGTTCCAAGGTGCTCTGTTTTTTATAACAAACAAAGCTTGAACTTTTTTGTGGAAGTGCTGAATATGCCTGAGCTTCTTGGGTTTTGCCCCTCTCTCTCTCTAAATTTCTTTCTCTGGGGAAGAGCTGGAATTTGAATTCACCTAAGTTTCTTGTGTTACTGTATAATTTGTCTCCAATTCGAGCTCTCTCTCAAAACACGTATTTGGAGCTTCAATAAGCAAAAGTTTGGAAATCGTGACCAATAAATGTTTTCTCAAATTCGAGCTACTGGGGACTCTATAATTGGTAGTTTTCAGGAGTATTTTGAATTTCTTGCCGCCCCTCTCCCTCTCTCTTTCCCCCTCTAATTTCATCTCTTTGATTCTCAATGTGCAGAATGATCAGGCATCAATAGTTCAACAAGCAACAATCGAATTGCAAAACCTGCAAAACTTGAAAAATGAGTTACAGAGAAGAAACCATGACCTCAACGAAAGGCTAATAGGCAAAAGGCCCATAACTGAAGAAGAGAAAAATAATGAATTTGTGAATATCAAATTAAAAGTAGGGAACCCAAGTTGTGGAATAGACTCCATGATCGCAGCTCTCCAGTCCTTAAAAAGCATGGGGTTGAGCACCAGAGCCATTCGATCGCAATTTTCGGAGCTTGAATTCGAAGCAACCATAGAGGTAGAAAATAAAGTGAGTACTCACTCTATATCTCTCTCAGATTGTAACATTTTTTTTCTTTTATGCAGAAAGAGAGAGAGAGAGAGGCATAAGCTAATTTTCAAGAACTAAAATTTGATAAAATGTGATTTTGCATAGTAGGAATTCTTATTTTATTTGTCGCAATAATGTCTTTAAAATTATAATAAATCAATATTTTTCCACATTATTTTTTGTAAAGCTTGAGGTGAGGGAAGTGGAGAAAGCAGTGGAAACGGCGCTCATGGAAGCTGAAAAATGCAGGTGGGATTAGATCGGCCCGTGACATCTCATGTAAGCTGCTCTTTCTAAGAAAGAGAGCGAGGCTTCGAGATGGTTCAAATTCAAATTTATGCACACGTGCATGCACCGCATTTGTTGGCGCCGATATTGACCAATGAGATTGGTTGGCGGGGCCAATTTTGGAGGGGAATAACTAACGGTTGTGGGTTTTCTAATGAAAATTGATATATCAATGAACAAATGGTGTGGTGTCGTTAACCACTTGTAATTTTATTTTTCTTTTCGAGTAATACACGGACAAGTAACATTTCGAGGATGCTGCTTCATTCATTCCTAGAAGCTTTTGTGCGTTTTAACATTTTAGAATTGAAGGGGCGTCAAATTTAACTCTCTCTCTCTATGCAATAACTAATACTATAATCTCTCTCTCTCTATACCATAACTACTACTGTAATCTGTCTCTACACCACAACTACTATAATCTCTCTCTCTACGCCATAACTACTACTGTAATCTCTCTCTCTCTCTAAAAATACACCGAAGCTACTGTAATCTTTGTTCTAGTTGTACTCGCCTTCTTGGTTCATGTGATTTAAAAAAATCAAATATCGAACAAGAATTTTTTTCACGGAAAATTACTAAAACCCCTTTCACTTAACTTTCTTAACATTCCTCCCCCAACAACGGTTAAAAACACTAAAAAAAACCTATTATATTATTTATTTTTATTTAAATCATATAATTCTTTGAATTTTGGGCTATAGGTTTATTTTTCTAAATATAAATTAAATAAAAATATTTAAAAATAATTTAAATAAAAACTCTAAAATACCTTTAAATTTGTTTTGGTCAATTTTTTTTATATAAAATATTATTTTTATTTTTATTCAATTATACTTATAAAAGTAAAAGTACAGCCCAAATTTCATATTAATATTATTTTTAAATTAAAATAAATAAATAAATATTTTTGTTTTTGACGCTTGGATGAGAGGAGAGGTTCGTTTAATATGAACCATTAAAAGATGCATGCACAGCTTTTAAGCATACGCAACTTGTGGATGCAAAATTCAACATGGAGGCATCATTGTACTTTTGGCTTATAATCGCAAAATCGTAACACCAAAGGAAACCCACATCAAAAGAGAAACCACAATCGCATCCACGTTACCGTCCACGTGTGGAGCGGACGACGATGACTCTAAGGCCCCATTTGGTTTCCCGGATATGCAATTGATATGGAATTGGCATCTCCTGGAATATGGAATTCTGTGTCTACACTTTGGAAAGGATCGAGACCTGAAAGATAATAGTATTAATATAAATTAATGTAGTAGGATATTATTATATTATGATATGGGATTATATACAAAAAGATACTATTTATCTTTGGGTAAAGTTTATATGAAGCTTAGGTTTTATAAAAATAAAAGTTTATAAAAGGATGTAACCTTATAATGTAAAACTACAAATGCACCTCAAAAATCCATCTGAAAAGGTAGTTTTAATGTTGAAAAACGCTTTGATTGATCATCTCGACATCGAGATGTATGACCATGAAAAATAAAAAGATTTTAAGTCTAAAAAATAGTGCATTTTACAACATATTATCTACACCATCCATTTTCAAGATTTTCATATGTTTATATATCTACTTGATTTTAACCATATTTGAATTTTAAAATTAGATATAAAAATAGATTTTGAGATAATCCTAATAACATTTTACGTCAAAATTATATAACATGATAAATTTTCAAGGTGCACCTTACCTCTACAGCTATGGATGCATCTGAATGCCAACTGCACCCATAAAATAAAGTTTCATCTTAAATCCTCGTCCGGAAAGCACTTTCGCTGATGAAAATCTTTGTGATCAATCTAAAATCAATTTCCAACACCGAAAATAAGATTTGAACTTAAAAGAATAGTACAAATCTTGCTGATCTATGAACACTTATTTTTAGGATGAACTGGATGGTCTAGATAATTTGTTACAATATACTCTATTTTTAGAGCTTAAAGTCCTAATTTGTTTTCACTATTGTGATGTTCACATTCGAGATGATCGATGTAAAGGTTTTTCAACGCTTGAACTATCATTTTTTTTTATGAGTTATGAGATGAGGATTTACTTATTTTGATAGTGTTGAAACTCTTATCAAACTTATTTTCATTATCTTTTGTACATGGAGGTCACAATCATTCATGTCTCTTAAATTTCAAAATGTGTCGTTGTAAAAGTATCATTGAATAGACACAAAATTTCAAAAAAGAATTTATTAGACTTTACAATCCACCACAAACCATTAAATTTGACATTTAATGAGCAGGAATAATTGCGACCTTCATATACAAAAGATAAATTCTCTATTTGTAAACAATCCCTTATAATATTGTTAATAATAAATATTAATAGTATTAATATAATAAATATATTAGTAATATAATATACTTATTAATAATATCAATATAACAATAATATCATAATAATCATATAATAATACTATTAATATAGTAAACATTAGTATTAATAATATAATATTAGTAATAATAAAAATATTAATGACATTATCATAAAAATAATAATATAATATATCAATAATATATCGTAATAGAATGATAATATGCATAACAATAATAATAATAATAACAGTAATAGTAATAAGAATAACAACAATAATAATAATCTCTCAAAATGTGAAAATACATATTCCATCTATTTTAGTACAACACATATCTACGGGTTTTGAACTCAAAATACGGACAATATCCACATGGAGATTAAAATCCCCATCTCCATATCGCATACAAACCGTAAGAATGGCTCGTATCTATGGCAATGGGTCTTGAGGGATCCAAACGACCCCCAAAATTGGGTATTCTACACTCGCAGGTGTTACATCATACGTGATATTTCTACTGTGAAATAAATCTCGTTCATTTCCATTAGACATAAAATAGGGATTCATTTAGATCCAGCATTTCAAAAATCAGATTGGTGGAACAGTTCTCCACAAATCCGTGACAAATTATATGATTGGTGATTCATTTTGGATCTGGATCAGTTTAAATTTAAAATGATCAAAAAAATATATTAAAAATAAATAAAATAAAATAAAAAAAAAAATTTACTCTATGGGGTAAGGCAATGGTTTAAAAACCGGATCGGTGACTCGGATCGGGTTTTTCAAAAATTTATCCGGATTAGAGAATCGGAGATCCGAATCGACGAATCGGAGATCCGGATCGGAATCGGGTGAATCGGTCATAATAAAGCTTCAAAAAAATCCGAAAAAATTATTAAAATTCATTATAAATATTGGTTTTTAGGAATTCAATAAAAAATGAGGGTACTCTATTAAGAATTTTCATGTTTTTGAATGAATATGCGAATATTGATATGTTCTTTCCCTGTATGAACCGCCATTCAGCATTTAATTTACAGTA